TTCGCTGGTTCAGTCGCTGCTTTTCCTCTTAAACGCACATGCTACCGTCTTCTGAACTTGAAAAGTATCTGGGGCGTTTGTGTGGATCAATATTGCAGGGAGAGATGGGAGCCAGAAAGGGCGAAATCTACATGGACTGTCCATTTAGATCAGCGATGGGCAAAGGCAGCACGCGAGTTGATTTTCAGTGGCACTTGCACTGCCTGGGTCCTGGCCACTGGTCTGGGGGGCTCTGCATTTTAATTTAATTTTAAATGAAGCTTCTTAAACACTTATTTACTTTAAATACAACAATAGTTTAGTTATATATTATAGACTTATAGAAAGAGACCTTCTAAAAACGTTTAAATGTATTACTGGCACGCGAAACCTTAAACTAGAGTGAATAAATGAAGACTCAGCACACCACTTCTGAAAGGTTGCCGACCCCAGGCGTAGTATATGGGACAAAGGCTAAACTGAGGGATGAGGGAAAGGGAAAAAGGAATGTTAAGAAATATTTTGGGTTTGTTTTTCTTTTGAAAACAAACAAGAAACTGGAACTAGATGTAAAATGCAAATAGAAAATATAATTTGTCTTGTTACTGATCCAATAAAATTTGAAAATCAAAAGTAGCTAGAACACTTGTTTCCCAGACAGTGTTCTAGCTGAAATTTTGTTTCACATTGGACTCAACTCACGTATAGTAAAAATATAAATAGTTAAAAGCTTAATGGTAAAACTTAAGACTTTTTTCATAATCTCTCAAAAATGCAAAAAAAAAAAAAAGACTTGAACAAAACTAAGTGGCTGAATGGCAGTGTTTGGTAGCAGTTGTTGATTTGATATTATAGAATGAAAACATTAATTTACTATTTTAAAAACTGCATAGCTATATTACACTGTGCTGCCATAAAATTTAGTAGAATATTACTGAACAGGGCTTTTTTCTTATAAAAAATTACTTAGATAAATTAGGTTAAAATAATATGAAGGGACCTAGAGTAGAGCTTGAAATTTATCTCAAACAGTTACTTGAATTCTTCCTACTTTCTTTTTAAGGTTCAAAGATCATCCCACATTAAATGAACGATATTTGTTACTTCATTTACTTGGTCGAGGTGGCTTCAGTGAAGTATATAAGGTAATCTGTATTTTGGTCTGCTAATGTAATATTTCATAGCCACATACGTTTATATATATATATAATTTTCTTACTTTTGATCTCCCGGACTAAGAGGGTTCTAATTAGACATGCCAAACCCATGAAAAAAATACAGAAATTGGGCTTGTTTTTGGCTTAAGTGGCTTGTGAGTTGCTTGTTGGCTAGTTTTTGGATTGTAGCTTGTTTGGCTTGTAGCTTGTTGCTTCTTTTTTTTGATCATCTCCTGGCAAGGAAGGGCAAGGCGGGGAGAGAGTCATGGGTGCACAGAGAGCATCACTGAGCTGAGCATCACTGATCATACTTATATAATCAGTAGACGAAGGCTCCATTGGTAATAGGGAAGAAGCCAGTATTGTGACTGTAGACTTGCTGATATGTACACTAAGGAAAATGCATTACAGCAAATTGGAAAATTAGGGACTTGTGGTACAAATTTTAAAAATGTTTTAGTCCTTCTGGACTGGGATAATTAACCCCAGCCATAGAAGGGAGCGCTTGCCACTGAAATGAGCCTTTATGAACCCAAACATAGATGTAACCTCTTGGTTAGTCATAGCTTCTCTGGATACATTTATTTTTCTGAATATAAAATTGGCAGAAGTCTTGCTTGATAAGAAAATATCTGAGGAAAGTAGAACAAAATTGTCAATGTTATGATAAGCTATCTAATGCAACACCATGGTTCTACAAACTGCATGTCGTATTGCTTGTATAATAAAGTTTGTGTACTTCAAATTAACTGTCTTCATGATTATGAAGTGTTTTTCTATAGCACATCTGTATAGTTTCATTTTGCTTAATTTGTCTGTAGATCTGTGGATTATATGCTGAATTTGGATCTTTGAGTGTTGTTTTTTGTCATCTTTGGTTGTAATTGTCCCATTTCTGGTTTTCTAGGCTTTTGATCTTTATGAACAAAGATACGCTGCTGTGAAAATACACCAACTTAACAAAAGCTGGAGAGATGAGAAGAAGGAAAACTACCACAAGTAAATATTAATGACTTAGGATTCTTGTGATAAATTGAACTGTGTTCTGGTGATCATGGAAAGTTAACAAATGTCTTAAACATCTTCTTTTAGACATGCCTGCAGAGAGTATAGAATACACAAAGAACTGGATCATCCCAGGATAGTTAAACTCTATGACTACTTCTCCCTAGATACAGATACGTAAGTGAAATGACACTGATTTTAGAACATTCCAAGTATTTTTAATACCTTACTTATATTAAAATGAAGACTGTATTTAACACTAAGGGTGACATCCTCACCTCAGCTCTCGCCTCGTTGTCTAAAATGACTGGAGCAATAATGTAAAGGGGCTCTAAAAGCCCCAATTCTGTCTGGAGGAAAATTCCCCATGCTGCAGACATTGTGGAAGACAGTCGTAAGGCTGCTTTCTGGGGACACCCTCGTATAAGGGACGTGTTGGGATGGATTGCAGCACACAGTACTGCAAGTGAGTCCAGGTAGCACTGTAGTCCATAGGACAGTCCAGGGAAGCTACTGCAACATAGACAGACCTCCGGGGCTGTCTTAATTATACCAGGGGCTTCTCCAGTTCCCTGTGGAGGCCAGGATTAGGAGTTTCCTTAACCACTACCATGCTTCCCTTGGGCTGCGCCTTTAAGAGACCCAGCACAGAATTTCACTGTAAGAGATTACACTACATTTGTTATCAAGAAACTTGTCTAAGTATGCAAAAAGGAAAGTTCTTCTTTGAGTGATTGCTCATGTGTATTCCACAGTAGGTGTGCGTGCTCGCCATGTACAGCGGTGCCAGAAGTTGTTGCCCTAGCAGTACCTGTAGGGGAGTGCACCAATGACCCCTGGAGCGGTGCCTCCATGGTGCGGTATAAGGGGCACTGCCCGCTCCTCCCACCCTCAGTTCCTTCTTGCCGCCAGTGAAGGTGCTTTGGAACTGCTCTGCTGTAGCTCATCCCCAAAACTGCTTGTTCATTCCATGTATGTTACCTGTAGTTAGTTAGTTAGTTCCCGATGCGGTTCGCCGCCCAGCCTCTGTTCAGGGCAAAGTCCACATGGATTGCTCTTGACGCCCACCAGGCTGTCTGGTTGGGTTCTGTCTGACCGAGACTCTCAACGCTGCTCTGCCTCGAGGAGTGAAGACTGACGGGATCAAGGCAGATGATGTCAAAGGTCCTCGTCTCGGAAGGGCTATTGCAGCCGGTCATGGCACAAACGTTGACATCGGTCCTGTTCAGCGTCCCGCTCCAGGACGTCGCCACTGCACCATCTCTGCAGCCGTGGGCATCGATCACTGTCGTCTCACCATCGCGGGTTCATCCACCGGCGCCGATCACGGAGCAGCTGTTACTGACAGTAACGGTCCTCCACATCGGGATCGCAGTCCCGTGGTTGGCATCGTTGCCGACGCTCCTTCCAGTCCAGGGACAGCGACAGGTCGTATGTCAGCCCGGCCTCCCTTCATAGTCGTCCATTGATGGGCCAGGCCCGCCAGGCCAAAAAGCAGACTCCGCTGGTGCCACAGCAGGTGCAGTGGCACCCGGCCACGTGGCCAGCCCAACAGTACCAGTGGGCACCGTGGCCCCCGAAGCAGCACCTGGTGGGGGCTCGCTTGGTGGCCGGAGCTTCAGAAGGACCATCGGCCTCCCTCTCCAGACCTCCAAGGAAGGAGTCGGTGGGATGTACGTCCTCGGCACCGTGCCTGGAGACCGACCAGGTGGTGGACTCTCCGGTGCCAGTGGACACAGAATACTGTGCCGGCCTCCTCACCCTCCCCAGATGAAGCAGTTACAGCCCCTCCTCCCTCCATCCTGCAGAAGGATTTTAGGGCCCAGCAAGAACTCTTAAAAAGGGTGGCATCAAGCCTCCATCTCCAAGCAGAGGAGATGGAGGAGCCCTCAGACTCTCTGTTTAATATACTGTCCTCCTTGGCACCGGGCCAGATGGCCTTGCCTCTCCACGAAGGGGTGGTGAAAATTTCAAATGCTCTGTGGCAAACCCCGGCCTCGTTGGCCCCCATCTCTAAGAGAGTGGAACGCAAGTACTTTGTCCCCGCCAAGGGGCATGAATACTTATACACCCACCCTGCTCCTAACTCCCTGGTGGTTAAGTCGGTCAACCACAAGGAACGGCAGGGCCAACCAGCTCCTACCCCGAAAAATAAAGATTCGAGGAGGCTGGACTCTTTGAAAGAAAAATTTACTCGTCCTCGAGCTTCCAGTTACGAGTGGTGAACCACCAGGCTCTTCTGGGCCGGTATGAGTTCAATCTGTGGGGCTCCCTGCCCAAGTTCAAAGACTCCCTCCAGGAGCGCCACAGGAAGGAGTTCAAAGCCTCTGGAGGAGGGCACAGCTGCTGCGAGGGCAACCCTGCAAGCAGTTCGGATGCAGCGGACATGGCCGCGCGGTCCATGGACTCCACGGTGTCTATGAGAAGGGCGTCATGGCTCCTATTCTCTGGGCTGTCCAGCAAAGCACAGACCTCCCTGAAGGACCTCCCATTTGATGGCAAAGCTCTGTTTGCGGAATAAACGGATAGAAAGCTGCATGGCCTGAAAGACTCCCACACGACTTTCCAGACTCTGGGTCTCTATGTTCCAGCTCCAACTAAACCTAAGTTCAAGCGACAGCAGACTCCCGCTCAGGCCACCCATTCAAAATACAAGACCCCTTATAAGAATTCGTGGGATTATAAGAGGTGCCCGCAGAGGCAGTCTTGGCCTGCCACCCAGCCTGGGTTCTCCAAGGTCAAGCAAATGGGGGGAAAGGCAGTTTTGACGGGGCGCCCTGCCAGTTCTCATCGGGTATCCACCTTCAATAAAGCTTTCCTTCTCCAATCGGTTCTGTGCTTTCCTACCAGAGTGGTCGCGGCTGACCTTGGACTGATGGGTACTCAACACATCTCCTGGGGCTACACCCTCCAGTTTACTTCCTCCCCACCCAACCACTCCCCACCCCCGTCCCTCCTGGGGGACCCCTCGCATGAGGCTCTGCTCGAGCAGGAGGTGGGGTGGCTCCTGGGCCTAGGAGCGGTGGAAGTGGTACCTGGGGAGTTCAAAGGCAAGGGGTACTACTTCCACTATTTCCTTATCCTGAAGGCCAAAGGGGGACTCAGGCCCATCTTGGACCTGCGAGGCCTGAACCAGTACATGGTGAAGCTCAAGTTCCGCATGGTCTCCCTGGCCTCCATCATCCCCTCCCTGGATCCCAGGGACTGGTACACCGCCCTCGATCTACAGGATGCGTACTTCCACATTCATATATTCGAGGAGCACAGACGCTTCCTCCATTTCATGGTAGGACAGGAACACTACTTATTTATGGTCCTCCCGTTTGGCCTGGCCACTGCCCCCAGGATATTCACAAAATATATGTCGGTGGTGGTGGTCTACCTCAGGCGCCAGGGGGTCCAGATCTTCCCCTATCTGGACGACTGGTTGGTCAAGGGCAGCTCCCGGTTTCAGGTGCGGGATCAGGTGGCACTCCTTCTGTCCACATGCACCACTTTGGGCCTGTTGGAAAGCGACACCAAGTCCACGTTAGTCCCGTTACAATGCATAGAGTTTATCGGGGCGGTCCTGTTCGCCTCATCAGCCAAAGACTCCCTTCCACCAGACAGGTTCGAGATCCTGAAGGGTCTCATGGACACGGTCACAAGGTTTTCGGTGACAACAGCCAGAGTGTGCCTCCTGTTCTTGGGTCACATGTCAGTGTGCACATATGTGGTCCGTAATGCCAGACTCAGGATGAGACCCCCCAGCTCTGGTTGGTCTCGGAGTTGTCCCAGGCCAGGGAGGACAATACCCGAGCCAGTGATCACCTCCCTATGGTGGTGGTCTTCCCCGAGAAACCTGCTTCAAGGAGTCCCGTTCAGGGGCAGGGCCCCGTCGCTGGATCTAGTGTCCGACGCGTCGGATCTGGGACTGGGGGTGCCCATGTGGGGAACGTTCAGACCCAAGGTCTGTGGTCGGCTCAGGATCTGACCCTCCACATAAACGTCAAGGAGCTCAGGACAGTACAGCTGGCGTGCATGGCCTTCCACTTGCACCTGGAGGGCCGGTGGTCAGGGTTCTCACGGACAACACGGCCTCCATGTTCTATAGCAACAGACAAGGCGGGGCCCAATCCTCTGCCCTCTGCTGTGAAGCCCTCAGGCTGTTGGACTTTTGTATAGCCCACGACATCTGCTTACAGGCCTTCCATCTGCCGGACGCCTGGAACGCCGGCGGATTGCTTGCACAGGGACATCTCCTCTCTTCACGAGTGGTCTCTCCACCCAGGGGTGTGCACAGTCTTTTCCAAGAGTGGGGAACTCCCCAGGTGGACCTGTTCATGGCTTGGCAGAACTGTCATTGTCCCTGGATCTGCTCCACGGTGGCCTGGGATGGGGGGCTATCTCCGATGCCTTTCTGCTGTCCTGGTCAAGCCAGTTCCTCTATGCTTTTCCCCTGTTCCCGCTGATCGGCAAGGTCCTGGAAAAGATCAAGTCAGACAAGGCCCAGGTACTTCTGATTGCCCTGGCATGGTCCAGGCAGCATTGGTACAGGACCCTCACGGGCCTAGTAATTGCCACGGCCGTTGCCGTCCTGCCCGGACCTGCTCTCCCAGGAGCAGGGCCGCCTCCTCCACCCCAACCTAGCAGCGCTCCACCTCACAGCATGGCTGTTCAATGGTTATGTAGGGAGGAAAGGACATGCTCAGAAGGGGTTCAGCACGTTCTCCTAGAAAGCAGGCGACCCTCCATGTGCCAAGCCTTCTTGGCAAAGTGGTCTCAGTTCTTCAGATGGGCAGACGAGCGGGACGTTTCCCTGGTGGCTGCCCCGTTCCAGTTTATTCTGGACTACCTCCTTCACCGTAGAGCCCAGAGCCTGGCGCCCTTGTCAGTCAAGGTGCAACTGGTGGCCATATCGGCCTTCCATCCACCGGTGCCGGGCCACATGGTATTCTCCCATGCTATGACTGTCCGATTCCTTAAGGGGTTGGATCGTCTCTTCCCGTATCTTAGGCCTTCTGTCCCGCAGTGGGACCTAAACGTGGTGTTTGCCCGTCTCATGGGGCTCCCGTTTGAGCCGCTAGCCACGTGCTCCTAGTCGCACCTCTTGTGGAAGGTGGCCTTCCTGGTTGCGATCACGTCAGCTAGACACGTTTCGGAACTCAGGGCCCTGACTTCCGAGCCCCCCGTACATAGAGTTTCATAAAGATGAGGTCCAGCTCCGCCCACACCCTTTGTTCCTCCCGAAGGTGGTCTCTGCCTATCACATGGGTCAGGACATTTTTCTGCCAGTCCTCTGACCCAAGTCCCATGCATCCAGTGAGGAGTGCCGCCTCCACACGCTGGATGTGAGACAGGCTCTGGCTTTCTACCTGGAGCGGACTAAGTCATTCAGCAAGTCCTTGCAACTGTTCATCGCCTCGGCCAAGCGCATGAAAGGTCGGCCAATCTCCACTCAGTGGCTCTCCAACTGGATCACCTCGTGCATCCATATCTGTTATGGCTTGGCAGGAATCCCTCCGCCACCAATTGTGAAGGCGCACTCGACTCGATACAGGCCTCGTCGGCTGCCTTTTTGGTCCATGTCCCTATCCAGGACATTTGTAGGGCTGCTACATGGTCTTCAGTTCACACTTTCACCTCGCATTATGCAATTGTCTCCCAAACCAGGGAGGATGCTGGATTCGGCAGGGCTGTGCTCCGTCCCAAGAATTTGTAATCTCCTACCCACCTCCAACAGATATAGCTTGGAATCACCTACTGTGGAATACACATGAGCAATCACTCGAAGAAGAAAAGGCAGTTACCTTTTCCATAACTGGCATTCTTCAAGATGTATTGCTCATGTCGATTTCACATTCCACCCTCCTTCCCCTCTATTGGAGTTGTCTGGCAAGAGGGAACTGAGGGTGGGGGGAGCACGCGGCTCCCCTTATACTGAGCTATGGAGGCATCACTCCAGGGGTCGCTGTGGCGCTCCCCTATGGGTACTGCTAGGGGAAAAACTTCCGGCACCAGTGCACGTGGCAAGCACGCACACCTGCTGTGGAATAGACATTAGCAACACATCTCGAAGAACACCAGTTACGGGAAAGGTAACTGTCTTTTTTTTACATGGCCTCACTAATATTTGTGTAGTCTCTTTTCTGTTGAATGCAAATGCTTCGATGTTGGGTTTTTAATTAATTAGTTATGCCAGATTCCCTTCATTTAAAAAAGCTAGATTATTTTATTCATATACGTGAAATTGTTAACTTGTCATTATCAGTCTTTACTTTTTTTCATATGATTGTGCAGTTGGATGGCAATTTGTACTCTACCTTATCTGACACTGTATTTCTGAATTTTTACTCTAGGTTTTGTACGGTGTTGGAGTACTGTGAAGGCAATGATTTGGATTTCTATCTCAAGCAACATAAACTGATGTCAGAGAAAGAAGCTAGGTCCATTGTAATGCAAATAGTAAATGCACTACGGTATCTCAATGAGATCAAGCCCCCTATTATACACTATGATCTTAAGCCAGGTAAATGAAAAAAGTTACAGCTGAAAATGCAATAATTTTGTTCTCTCGTATTTTATTTGTAATCCATGTTGGAAAATCTCAGATTAACCTCTGGTTGTCATTTCTTCTTAAATATCTCCAAAATCTATATTTCTCTTACATCTTTACTACTGAAATCTTTGTCTATTCTTTGGCTATCACTTGCCTCATCTCATTAGTCATTTTGCATTATTTTGTGTATTTTAATTTATGGGGTAAGTACCTGTCACAAGGTGCAGCCCTCATTGCTAGACTGATGCCTCCTCCCGGTCATGCTGAGGATTAGCTCAAGGCAGACACCCACATCTGCGGTCTGCACACCGGCACTCAGTCACTGGTCCCACCTGTGGCTCCTCTCTCAGCTTCCAGAACTGCAGCATCCTCTTCTCAACTCAGCCCTCTGGCTAGGTCATCATTTGTTTCCTGCTTCCAGGAGGGGATCTCTGTCCAACAGTTGAGCCACTTCCCCAGTGACAAGTTGCGGGGGGACCCAGACCCACTCAGTACTGCAGCCCCAAGTCCAGGGACTCAGTAAATAGCAGCAAATAGCAGCCTCCTGCTGCTCCTCTATAACCTCCATCAGTGCTGCTATATTTCCCTGGGCCACTTCCCCGTGGCCCTAGCACCTTCTTCGCCCTTACCTCAGGGCATTCAGCTGGGCTCCCTGCAGCAACTGACCCTACTCTGCCCTGCAGATCCCTTTTATCTGAGCCTTCGGGGCCTGGATTGCTCCCTGCATCTCCTCCCTAATTGGCTGTACTTCAAACAGCCTCTCTGGGCTGCTGGGAGAACTTACTTCCATTGCTCCTTCCTGGACAGGGCATGATTAACCCCTTTTATGCCTGTGTGGGGCAGACACCCCATCACAGATCCAGAGAACATGACGGACACCTTCAGAAATACAAAGAAAATAATTTGTTGTTTCCTTCTCCTCTGATCTTTCCAGAATGCTGCTGTGAAAATCATTTTCCTTTATTGTGCATTTTCCTTGTCTACTCAAATCCTTTCACTGGCTATCATCACCTACGTTTAGTTGAGGCTTTTGTCTTCACACTAAAGTCTCTGTGTAATTGCACTCATGCATACAAGTGTTGTCCTCCTTTGCTATAATTGGACCTCTTTCCTAGCTGCTCCCTTTGATTCCTCCTTCCGCTGTCATCTTCATGTCCTCTTCCATGCCGCCCCTTTATGCCTGCAACAGTCCAATTTTTCTTGCATGTCTAATGACCATCATCTTTATTCTAATCTCTCCTTAAGTCTTACTGCATCCATTAAGTCTTCCAATAATGACTCAGCATAGAGTAAATAAAATTAGTGTGACCATTTTAAACAGACTAAAGATTTACACCATCTTCTACCTTGGGGCTTCAGTTGGCCATCTAGTTTGTTAGTACTCTCTTTGTGAATCTAAAATTGTTAACCCCTTAAGGCAAAGATGGTGTTTGTGTAGTGTGCCGTACAACATCAAGCTACCACTTAATAAGTAAGAAACTGTTAACATGGTTTTCTTTTAGAGAGGATAGAGTTGTACGGTATGCATGCTCTTTTGCACAGTTTCAGGGATGACTGTTCTCATATAGAGCAATTCTGAATATATTTTTATTAAGACATTTATGTTCTTAATTTAATATTTTTGAAAGAGATTGGTAAAAAATAAATTTTGTTTAAATAATGAATAAAGTATAATGCTAAAGGAAAACAAAAATAGTATGAGAAATTCATTGTGCAGTTTAAAAACAGGGAGAGATCCTTGGCCCATCTGCAGCCCCTTTGCACTGTTCTTGGGGAGCATATAGAAGCTGTCCCTAAAGCCAGTTTAACCAGCTTCCTGTGAATTCTGTGGTGCTGGTAGAATATATTTTCAGGACAATAAGTGGGAAAAAGCACCATGGCCAGGGTTGCTGTGATCTGGTGTTTCCCAGCTACCCAATCAGTCCCTTGGGGGGCCATTGCAGTTGGGAGCAACTTAGAGCCACGCAGAGGTCAAAATGGTTTGGGGAGGAGGGTAGAAAGGTGGTATTCAGCTGCTTCAGCTGTATCAGGCACTGCTGCAGATTGAACCTATTAAGAAGCATTTATTTAGTATTCTTGTGATAAGATTGCATATTCATAATGTTTTGTTGTTGTTAGGTAACATCCTTCTAGTAGATGGAACAGCATGTGGAGAAATAAAAATCACTGATTTTGGTCTCTCTAAAATAATGGATGATGACAGCTATGGTGTGGATGGAATGGACTTAACTTCACAAGGGGCAGGAACTTATTGGTAATTTTAAGTTTGGACAGATATGTTATTTAAATTTTTATTGTTCAAATTTCAATAATGTAAAATCAGTTTTACACAGATATCTAGGATTAAAAGCATCAAATGTAAAATAGGGGAAGGAAAAGGATTTATGTGCAACATTTAGCCTGTGGATCTTAGTGTTGAAGGAACATAATATTACTGAATTTTGTAGGATGCATAACATAATCAAATGTTTATAGGAGTACAAATAACTTCTACAGATACGTTAGCTAATCTGTTTTCAAATCTGGGGATCAGTTGAAGTAAGAAAGAATCACCCTTGCTCAAAGCATAGTGTTGCACAGTTAGGTGCAGTATGTGGGTTTCATTATCAGTTTTTTTTCCCCCAAAGTGTTTGGTGTTGGAAAAATGAAATTGGACTAGGAGGACCTTTGATTACTTCTAGCATGGCAATTCCTATGTTTCTGTTTTTACTTCTCCTGTGGAAGTCAGTTTATACTTCACTCATAATCTTCCAGGAAGGCAGCAGCCAGGATATATATTTGAACATTCTGAAAGAATCACCATTTTAGTTCAGAATGTTATAAACATGTTTTCCAAGAAGAAAATATATATTAAACCCCTTGGCTTTTGGAAGATCATGACAGCCCTCCCAGGGGCGATAGGTTTGCATAGATGCTTAGCACTGGGAAATCCTCCCGGGAGAAATGTTATCAATTCCAAGAACTTTAGATCCCCAGATCATTATCTTCTTCAGACTACATATACACACACATTAAAATAATTCCCTTAGTCTTAAAGGTTCAGTTGACTGGAAAACTGACCAGCCATACTATATGTGTAGGGATAATATATATTTGGCAATTTTTATTACATATGTACATATAGGATAAATGTATACTGTGTCAGTATAAAACTGTTATGGAGTGTTTTCCAGTGTTGTGTATGTTGATTAAAATCTGTGCACTTGGTTAGACCCTTAGGAGGGCCTCTGAGAATTAGGCATTTCTCACATGCGTACCTGAAACTTCATTAACGTGCAGTGAAATTGCAGCACATGTCCTGAACAAAGCATTTAAAAAAATGCATATCTAAATACATTTTCCAAATGAGCGCAAGTGTAAAAATCTTATGGAAAAGTAAGACTGAACACACACTGACCTCTCACTTTGTGCAAAAGTCCAAAATCTATGAAGGGCATGGTGAGTTTTATATCTTTATATGACTATTTATTTGAAAAATATATGTGGGAAGTGGAGGGGGTGCCTGCTTCTCCTGCTACTTAGAGAGTTTAAGGCCAGAAGGGACAATCAGATCATCTAGCTTGACCTGTATATTACAGGCCACCAACACCATCCAGCACCTGCACGTTAAACCCAACAACCAAAATTAGACCAAAATATTACAACCCACAGGAGACTAGCCTATTCAGTGCCACAGTCAGCGAATAGGAGGGACCGAGGTGCACCAGGGCTCAAGGCCCCCACGGTGACAGGGAAATGATTAAATGAGATACAACTAAATAATCATAGCAAGTGACCCGCACCCAGACTCTGTAGAGGAAGGCAAAAAATCTAGGGCTGTCAAGTGATTTAAAAAATTAATCGTGACTAATCGCGCTGTTAATAATAGAATTCTATTTATATAAATATTTTGGATGTTTTCCACTTTTTCAAGTATATTGATTTCAATTACAACACAGAATACAAAGTGTACAGTACTCAATATTTATTTTTATTATAAATATTTGCACTGTAAAAATAAAATAAATACCATATATACTCGATCATAAGCCAGTTCGTTTATAAGCTGACCCCCCGCAAGATGGATAAGTAAAAATGGAAAATTTTTATGACCTGTTCATAAGCCGACCCTATAATTCAACTTTGGCTCCCGAGCCATCAGGATGAGCCGCTGGCAGACTGAGATGGTTTGTTTACCACGTGTCTGCAGGCATGGAGGGAAACCTAAGTACACAAAGTGTCCCAGTGCGCCAGCTTCTTACCCTGATGGGCTGGGACAGCAACTAGTGGGGAAATTTTTGCGGGGGAGAAGCTGGGTGTCGGGAGTAACCCTCACCCCTAGCTCGGGACCCCCACACTCTCCCCGTCCCATCCTCTCTCACCTTATCTGGGGCCAGGGGAGGATGTCTCTGGCCTGGCTGGAGCTGCTCCGGCAGGCTGGGCAGTGCGGCCGCAGCGTGCTCCGGTGGGCCGGGCCGGGCGGCGCGGCCGCAGCCTGCTCTGGCGGGCTGGGTGGCTGCAGACTGCCAGCCCTGGATCTGCAGCTGCTTTGGAGGCTGGGGGGAGAGCAGCATGGCCAGAAGCGGAGAGACTCTGGCCCTGCCTCTTCCCTTCTGGCTCTGCTGGCTGTGCTGCCTCTCCTTGTTCCCTCTGTTGGGGGGAGGGGCTGTGTCCCACCTCTCCCTCTCTATACTGTTCATAAGCCAACCCCCTTCTCTGGTGCTTCCCTTTTTTACTAAAACAAATTCGGCTTATGAACGAGTATATACGGTAGTATTTTTCAATTCACTTAATACAAGTACTGTAGTGCAATCTCTTTATCATGAAAGTTGAACTTACAAATGTAGAATTATATACAAAAAACTGCATTCAAAAATAAAACTATGTAAAACGTCAGAGCCTACAAGTCCACTCAGTCCTATTTCTAGTTCAGCCAATCGCTCAGACAAACAAGTTTGTTTACATTTGCAGGAGATAATGTTTAAAATGTCATCTGAAAGTGAGAACAGGTGTTCACATGGCACTGTTGTAGCTGGTGTTGCAAGATATTTACGTGCCAGATGCGGTAAAGATTCATATGTCCCTTCGTGCTTCACCCACCATTCCAGAGGACATGCTTCCATGCTGATGATGGTTTCTGTTCGATAACGATACAAAGCAGTGTGGACTGACCCATGTTCATTTTCACCATATGAGTCAGATGCCACCAAGAACGTTAATTTTCTTTTTGGGTGGTTCGGGTTCTGTAGTTTTCACATCAGACTGTTGCTCTTTCAAGACTTCTGAAAACATGCTCTACACTTCATCCCTCTCAGATTTTGGAAGGCAGTTCAGATTCTTAAATCGTGGTTCGAGTGCTGTAGTTACCTTTAGAAATCTCACATTGGTACCTTCTTTCCGTTTTGTCAAATCTGCAGTGTAAAAATGTTCTTAAAACAAACAACATGCTGGGTAGGGTTACCATATTTCAGCAAGCAAAAAAGAGGACGGGAGGAGCCCCGCCCCTGCCCCTCCCACTTCCCGCCCCCCCAGAACCCCCAACCCTCCCCCCATTCCTTGT